TTTCTATTCTATCTTCTTGTTTTCTTTTTATTTATTATAAAAAATATCCCTCTAACATTATAGCGTTCTCTGTTCTTTTTCTATTGTTTTGACTTGTTTTATTTTTATTATTAAAAAAAGCCTCTAACACTAGCGTTCCCTATTCTTTTTCTATTCTATCTTCTTGTTTTCTTTTTATTTATTATATATATAAATATATATAAATCCTTGCTATGTGTACTGTGTTAGCTTGTCACAGCACTTATATATCATTGCTCTTTTGTTTGCTTTTATTGTCTTCATTTGTAAGTCGCTTTGGATAAAAGCATCTGCTAAATGACTAAATGTAAATGTAATTGCGCTAAAAGTACCAGCCAAATAGTATTACCCTGGCATTTTGATAATACCATGGTATTTTTGACTTAAATTAAAAGATAATGTGTCTGGTAATTCAAAGAATACCATAGTATTGCATGTAGCACAGAGAGTGTGTGTGTGTGCGTGAGAGTGCGTGAGTGTGTGTGTGTTTGTGTGTGTGTGTGTGTGTGTGTGTGTGAGTGTGAGTGTGTGTGTGTGTGTGTGTGTGTGTGTGTGCGTGAGAGTGCGTGAGTGTGTGTGTGTGTGTGTGAGTGTGTGTGTGTGCGTGAGTGTGTGTGTGTGAGTGTGTGTGCGTGAGTGTGTGTGTGTGTGTGTGTGTGTGTGTGTGCGTGAGAGTGCGTGAGTGTGTGTGTGTGTGTGTGAGTGTGTGTGTGTGCGTGAGTGTGTGTGTGTGAGTGTGTGTGCGTGAGTGTGTGTGTGTGTGTGTGTGTGTGTGTGTGCGTGAGAGTGCGTGAGTGTGTGTGTGTGTGTGTGAGTGTGTGTGTGTGCGTGAGTGTGTGTGTGTGAGTGTGTGTGCGTGAGTGTGTGTGTGTGTGTGTGTGTGTGTGTGTGCGTGAGAGTGCGTGAGTGTGTGTGTGTGTGTGTGAGTGTGTGTGTGTGCGTGAGTGTGTGTGTGTGAGTGTGTGTGCGTGAGTGTGTGTGTGTGTGTGTGTGTGTGTGTGTGCGTGAGAGTGCGTGAGTGTGTGTGTGTGTGTGTGAGTGTGTGTGTGTGCGTGAGTGTGTGTGTGTGAGTGTGTGTGCGTGAGTGTGTGTGTGTGTGTGTGTGTGTGTGTGTGCGTGAGAGTGCGTGAGTGTGTGTGTGTGTGTGTGAGTGTGTGTGTGTGCGTGAGTGTGTGTGTGTGAGTGTGTGTGCGTGAGTGTGTGTGTGTGTGTGTGTGTGTGTGTGTGCGTGAGAGTGCGTGAGTGTGTGTGTGTGTGTGTGAGTGTGTGTGTGTGCGTGAGTGTGTGTGTGTGAGTGTGTGTGCGTGAGTGTGTGTGTGTGTGTGTGTGTGTGTGTGTGCGTGAGAGTGCGTGAGTGTGTGTGTGTGTGTGTGAGTGTGTGTGTGTGCGTGAGTGTGTGTGTGTGAGTGTGTGTGCGTGAGTGTGTGTGTGTGTGTGTGTGTGTGTGTGTGCGTGAGAGTGCGTGAGTGTGTGTGTGTGTGTGTGAGTGTGTGTGTGTGCGTGAGTGTGTGTGTGTGAGTGTGTGTGCGTGAGTGTGTGTGTGTGTGTGTGTGTGTGTGTGTGCGTGAGAGTGCGTGAGTGTGTGTGTGTGTGTGTGAGTGTGTGTGTGTGCGTGAGTGTGTGTGTGTGAGTGTGTGTGCGTGAGTGTGTGTGTGTGTGTGTGTGTGTGTGTGTGCGTGAGAGTGCGTGAGTGTGTGTGTGTGTGTGTGAGTGTGTGTGTGTGCGTGAGTGTGTGTGTGTGAGTGTGTGTGCGTGAGTGTGTGTGTGTGTGTGTGTGTGTGTGTGTGCGTGAGAGTGCGTGAGTGTGTGTGTGTGTGTGTGAGTGTGTGTGTGTGCGTGAGTGTGTGTGTGTGAGTGTGTGTGCGTGAGTGTGTGTGTGTGTGTGTGTGTGTGTGTGTGCGTGAGAGTGCGTGAGTGTGTGTGTGTGTGTGTGAGTGTGTGTGTGTGCGTGAGTGTGTGTGTGTGAGTGTGTGTGCGTGAGTGTGTGTGTGTGTGTGTGTGTGTGTGTGTGCGTGAGAGTGCGTGAGTGTGTGTGTGTGTGTGTGAGTGTGTGTGTGTGCGTGAGTGTGTGTGTGTGAGTGTGTGTGCGTGAGTGTGTGTGTGTGTGTGTGTGTGTGTGTGTGCGTGAGAGTGCGTGAGTGTGTGTGTGTGTGTGTGAGTGTGTGTGTGTGCGTGAGTGTGTGTGTGTGAGTGTGTGTGCGTGAGTGTGTGTGTGTGTGTGTGTGTGTGTGTGTGCGTGAGAGTGCGTGAGTGTGTGTGTGTGTGTGTGAGTGTGTGTGTGTGCGTGAGTGTGTGTGTGTGAGTGTGTGTGCGTGAGTGTGTGTGTGTGTGTGTGTGTGTGTGTGTGCGTGAGAGTGCGTGAGTGTGTGTGTGTGTGTGTGAGTGTGTGTGTGTGCGTGAGTGTGTGTGTGTGAGTGTGTGTGCGTGAGTGTGTGTGTGTGTGTGTGTGTGTGTGTGTGCGTGAGAGTGCGTGAGTGTGTGTGTGTGTGTGTGAGTGTGTGTGTGTGCGTGAGTGTGTGTGTGTGAGTGTGTGTGCGTGAGTGTGTGTGTGTGTGTGTGTGTGTGTGTGTGCGTGAGAGTGCGTGAGTGTGTGTGTGTGTGTGTGAGTGTGTGTGTGTGCGTGAGTGTGTGTGTGTGAGTGTGTGTGCGTGAGTGTGTGTGTGTGTGTGTGTGTGTGTGTGTGCGTGAGAGTGCGTGAGTGTGTGTGTGTGTGTGTGAGTGTGTGTGTGTGCGTGAGTGTGTGTGTGTGAGTGTGTGTGCGTGAGTGTGTGTGTGTGTGTGTGTGTGTGTGTGTGCGTGAGAGTGCGTGAGTGTGTGTGTGTGTGTGTGAGTGTGTGTGTGTGCGTGAGTGTGTGTGTGTGAGTGTGTGTGCGTGAGTGTGTGTGTGTGTGTGTGTGTGTGTGTGTGCGTGAGAGTGCGTGAGTGTGTGTGTGTGTGTGTGAGTGTGTGTGTGTGCGTGAGTGTGTGTGTGTGAGTGTGTGTGCGTGAGTGTGTGTGTGTGTGTGTGTGTGTGTGTGTGTAATAATTAGCATTTGGGTAACAATGTCTTTTGTTGTTGTTGTTATTTTGCAGCGCTATTTTTATTTTTATTTTTATTTTAAACAGAATTCAACAGCAAGTTCTTGACATATTTCTCACATTTTGTAAGTACAAATTCAAACACAATTTAAATAAAATATATATTTTTTAAAAACAGAACTTAAAAGAGAAAGAAAATCGTGACGTCTGCTCGTGACGTCACGTCATTACCGGAAGGTCCTCGCGCTCCTCCTCCGTTCACTCCCTGGCGAAGATGGCGGACGGCGAGAATAAACGGGCCGACGCCGCCGAGCCGCTTCCGAAGCGACCGAGACTCCCGGATCCGCCCGGTGCCCCGGAGCACAGCGCGGCTGGCGGAACCGAGCCGGTGGAGGCGGGACCGGAACCGGAACCGGCGCTGAGGACCGAGTCCCATCAGGCCTCACTGAACAACAACCACCGCCTCACCGAGCCCGAGCTCTCCGGTACGAGCGCCCTTAGCGCTTTAGCTCGTTTGTTACTTATTTGGGAGATTTTAAAGCGCACAGTCCGGTGTACTACATGTTCACTCAGTTTTACCCTGTTTTTACATTTGTGGGGTCTGTGTTATTAATATTTAATATAATAGCAACTTAAAAAATTTTATTTTTTATTTTTTAAATATTATAAAAATATAATTGATTATTTATGTAGTTTGTATGCCATTTCAATATTTATTTAATTATTTAATTATTCAGTTAATTATTATTATCATCATCTGTGGAGTTTAAATAATTATTTAATACTATAAAAACGTGTTTTTATATTTATATTTTATATGTAGGTGTCCATTGTTATTAAATATTATTTTGTTATTATTATTTAGATTTTAAGGTTTTATCGATTAGTGGAATTTATTATTTTACATAATTTAAATATTTAATCTTGTGATTATAAGTATTAATTATCTAATAACTTATTTAGTTTTTAATTGTTTTTATACTTATTGTTATTATTTAATAATGTAATATATTTTATTATAGTTATTTATATTTATGTAATTTAATTATAATTAAATTGTATTTAAAATTGCAATTAAATTATATTTTATTTTATTATTGTTATTTATTACTTATGATTTACTTGCTCAGTTATTACATGTTATTATAAATATTGTTGTATTTAGTTTTTGAGAGCGTGTCTCAATTCTGTCACTGTTTTGACTCGTCTTGTCAACTTCATAAATATTTCATGCTTTATTACATTTATTTACATGCTTTATTAAAATGTATTTAGTCACTGTAATAATGCTGATCAACACATAGTATTGCACTACCTTGTTTATTTATTATAATACATTTTCTTCAAAGAAATATAAAACAAGTGATGTATAGAGTTAAATTTGCATAAGCATCTAGTGTAGTGCAATACGGTTGTATTATGCTGCTATTGTTATGTTATTGTGTTTTTGTGTGGTTTGCATGCAGACTTAATTGAGGAGGGTGTGCATCCCAACGGTTTCACGTCACCCGATCTTCTTCGTGATGATGATGATGATGACTGCTCGTCTCGCGCCAGCTCCAGTGACTGGACCCCTCAACCACAGATTGGTAAGATCAGCTAGGTATTTGAAAAATAGTGTTTTTTGAACATTAGAGCATGCCAACATATTCTGTTACACCAAATACACAAAATAATGATCTTTAAAAAAGCATCATATGACCCCTTTAAAATCTTTTAGCGGAGTCAAGTGTCATATTACAAAATGTATTACGCTCTTTTAGAATCAAATGTTTTTATAATCTTGACAAAATACTTATCTTTGGAAAGGTCCGAGTCTCAAGATTCCATATTTGGTGGTTATTGTTTGATAGAAGTAATATTGACAGAGAAATTTAGACCAGAAAAGTGCATCAACAAAAATTCTACAGAGTTTGGATGCCACCCGGTGGCTGTTTGTGGTATAACGCCCTAAATAAACTCTCACAGGAACCTCAATTTTTTTAATATCAACTTCAAATTTGGAACATAACTTATTTAGACATAAGGCTTTCATTTTGCATCAATTTTGGATTAAAAAATAGTTTGTAAAAAATTTACTTTTGTATAAAATAACAAAATTGGAACAGTGCATTTTCTTTTTAGTTAATTTAAACTTCTATAACTTTTTGATACTTTAATATTTTATAAGGATTCCACTTCTGCAGTGATCTGCAGATTGTCCAACCTTAGGTCTGTATTCCAAAGTTGTCATGAATTATAATAATTCAAGTTTGGATAGTGCACTTTCACGTCTATGTTCAAAAATGGGGGAGTGTGCACTTAAGGGGTTAAACTAAGACCTGGTTTTCTTTTAGGCTCGTATCGGTTCATTCAGCAGCACATCATGAGAGGAACCGACCCGAGGGCCATTTTGAAAGACCTGCTTCCCGAAACGGTCCTCCCGGCGGATCTCGACGACATGACGCTGTGGCAGATCATCATCAACATCTCCGAGCCGCCCAAAAGAAAGAAACGCAAAGACATCAACACATTGGAGGACGTCATCCGGCTCCTGAAGGAGAGGAAGAAGACGCTTGTGCTCACTGGAGCCGGGGTATGCGTTGTTGATTTCTGCTTCAATTCAAACACGCTCTTAGGATGTTTCCAGTAAACTGCATGTTCCTCTTGTTCCTCCACAGGTGTCTGTTTCTTGTGGGATTCCTGACTTTCGGTCTAGAGACGGCATTTACGCTCGACTCGCTGTGGACTTTCCTGACCTTCCTGATCCTCAAGCCATGTTTGACATAGACTACTTCAGAAGAGATCCGAGGCCTTTTTTCAAGTTTGCCAAGGTTCGAAACACTGCTTTCTGCCATAAATGGAAAACAATTACTGCGCTGATGCTTTTCAAATAATGGGAGACATTACATGCACTGGTCACTTTGGGCCATAACATTTCAGACAAGTGGAAAGAAAACAGTCTGGATACACTTTTAAGTGTTTACTTTATTGCACTTTATCTGTTTGTGTCTGTAGATTTCAATTACATTGCTTTTATTTGACCAAAAATACAGAAAAAACAGTAATATTGTAAAATATTTTTACCATTTCAAATAATGGTTTTCTATGTGAATATATAGTAAACTGTAATGTATTTCTGAGATGCGCAGCTGTATTTTCAGCATCATTACTCCAGTCTTCAGTGTCACATGATCTTCAGAAATCAGTATAATATGCTGATTCATTACAGTTTTGCTGCTTAATATATATATTTTTTTAACCTGTGATACTTTTTTCAGGATTCTTTGATGAATAAAAAGTTCAAAAGAACAGCATTTATTTAAAATAGAAATCTTTTCTAACAATGTAAGTCTTTATTATCACTTTTTATCAATTTAACACGTCCTTGCTGACAAAAAGAAAGAAAGAAAGAAAAAATACTGGCCCCAAAATTTTGAGCGGTAGTGTATATTGTTACAAAAGATTTCTATTTTGAATAAACGCTTTTAACTTTATCACAGTAAAAGTATCACGGGTTCCCAAAAAAATATTAAGCAGCAAAACTGTAATAAATCAGCATATTATACTGATTTCTGAAGATCATGTGACACTGAAGACTGGAGGAATGATGCTGAAAATACAGCTTTGATCTCAGAAATAAATTATATTTTAAAGTATATTAAAATAGAAAACCATTATTTTAAATTGCAATAATATTTCACAATATTACAGTTTTTTCTGTATTTCTGATCAAATAAATGCAGCCTTGATGAGCAGAAGACACTTCTTTAAAACACATTAAAACTCTTACTGACCCCAAACTTTTGAAAAGCAGTGTATATTCTGAAGGTTTTTATGAAAGGTTCATATATCAGATGCCTAATATTATTATTGCACTTTACGTCTAGATTTAATTTACAGTACGTCTCTTTAAAAAAAGCCATTTTCTCAAAATGAGTTTTATCTCCACTTCAGCAACACTTTATTCCTATATATATATATATATATATATGTCTATATTCTGAAGGTTTCTACAGAGGGGTTTGTGTTTATATGTCATTCACACGGATTTATATAACATTGTACTCCTAAAAACATGGTGAAAATGTCTGTTTGACAGTATTTTCAGATTTATGGAGCCATAAAAAAGGGAATGTAAAAACCTTTAATATGTCAACAAAATCAAATAAGAATCTTGAATCTGAATGTTTCTGGAAATGTATGCAAGTGAGTGAATATTTAATTAGATAATGCATCATTTGCATATCTGAACGTAATGTTTAAAGAAACGTTTGCCTTAATGCACTGTGATTAATCACCTGGGGAATGTATGGTGAGATCGGTTTACCTTGCAATAAAGATTTATGTTTACATTTATGCGTTTGCATGCACTTATTCATCAAAATTGCATACATGTCATTACATTTATGCATGAAGATAAATAACAATATCCTCTGTTTGCATATGTTGTAGGAAATCTACCCGGGGCAGTTCCAGCCGTCTCCATGTCACAGGTTCATATCAATGCTGGATAAGAAGGGAAGGTTACTGAGGAACTACACTCAGAATATCGACACACTGGAGCAAGCGGCTGGAATCCAGAAGATCATTCAGTGTCATGGTATAACGTGTAACTCATATAAACCTAGATTTTATTATTCCGTCACTATCTAGACTCTTTCTTTATCCTCCGTCTTTTACAATTTAATTTTAGGTTCTTTTGCGACTGCTTCCTGTCTTGTCTGTAAACATAAGGTTGACTGTGAGGCCATAAGGGAGGAAATATTCAACCAGGTATGCTCGAGAATGAAAATTTAAAGGAACAGTTCACCCAAAAATGAAGCTTTTGCTGAAACTGTGCTCACCATCAGGCCGTCCGAGATTAGGATGAGTTTGTGTCTTCATCAGATTTGGAGAAATGTAGCATTGCGTCACTTGCTCTGCAGTGAATGGGTGCCGTCAGAATGAGAGCTGATCGAAACATCACAATAATCCACAGCACTCGTCCATCAGTGAACATCTGGAGAAAACAAACGCTGAAACAAATCCAGCATTAAGACGTTTTTAACTCAAATATGAGATTATAATCCATAATAACGCTTCCTCCGGTGAAGAAGTGTTCTGGTGTGAATCAGGAGAGAAATCTGCACAGATCAAGCACCGTTTAAACAGCTCGAAACACATATGTGGCTGGATTTTGATGCGAGAGACAACAGCAGATGCACTTTTTCACTGGAGGAAGCGTTATTATGGATTATAGACTCGTGTTTGAGTTAAAATCGACTTAATGCTGGATTAGTTTAATCTTTTGTCTTCTCCAGATGTTAACTGATGGACTGGAGTGCTGTGGATTATTGTGATGTTTCGATCAGCTCTCATTCTGACGGCACCCATTCACCGCAGAGCAAGTGACGCAATGCTACATTTCTCCAAATCTGATGAAGAAACAAACTCATCCTAATCTTGGACGGCCTGAGAGTGTGTAAAATTTGCAGAAAACTCCATTTTTGGTTGAGCTGCTCCTTTAATATGTGCTTGCGGTTGTGTTGTGGCTCATGAAACCGTTGTTGTTCTGCTGCAGGTTGTTCCTCACTGTCCGAGGTGTCCGTCAGACGTCCCGTACGCCATCATGAAACCAGACATCGTCTTCTTTGGCGAGAACCTTCCGGAATTTTTCCACAGAGCCATGAAGCAGGATAAAGATGAGGTGGATCTTCTCATCGTGATCGGCTCCTCGCTGAAAGTGCGGCCTGTGGCTCTCATACCCAGTGCGTAAACTTTTCTGTGTCTGCAGTAATCTGGGTTGCTTTTGCATGTAAAGATAGAGTTGTTGCACTCGATAACTAACTATATTGTGTGACTATTCAGATGTGATGCATCAGGTTGAGACGCAAAAAAAACTAATGTAAAGCAATTCACATGCACAGATAAGATTTGAGTGTTTTCAGACGAATAATTCAGATGCTGTTGTTTTTGAAGCTTAATCGGCAATTTAGTGGATACTAAAGATGGTGTCATTGTGATGCTTTGGTATTGATAGGTATTCATATACATCAGAGATCCCAAAAATATTTATTATTTTAGTCCCCCTGAGAAATATAATTGAATAACACGTTTGCATGTTCACGGTTCTCTCAGGTCGGTTAGTTGTCACATGACATGCAGGTAAACAAATGAAATAATCTTCTTCAAAATGTTCTTTTTATTCAATATACTTATTGTAATATTTTTAAACATTCTTTTAAAATATTATTTTTCTTTTGTAATTTTTTTGTTGTTGTTAAATTTAATTGAAGATGCGTAAAACAAAAGCAATCGGATATTTATTTTTGTAAAGTTTTAGGTTTTTAAAAACTCATTGCATACATGTAATTTCATTAAATATTTTTTTTAATATTGTATTTTTTTGTAATTTATTTAAGTATGATGTATTTAAATAAAATAAAAAATAAATATATGTACTTCAAATAAGTTATTTTAATTATTTTTCAAATTGTTTAATTATTAAATAATAATAAAAAAGGCAAAAACCTGTTCATGTAAAAGATGCTTAAAACAAAAGCAATCAGATATTTATTTTTATAAAGTTTTAGGTTTTCAAAAACTCGTTGCACAGACGATGTAGTTTCATTAAATATACATTTTATAATATTTTTTAAATATTCTTTTAAAAATATTCCTAAATCTTTTTTTTAGGTGTTTTTATAGAAATGTTACTAAAAATAATTATAATAATTACAATCAATAAAAACGTTCTGTAAGTCTTAAAAATATATTTTTATGATTTAATAAATAACCTTTTCATCAACTCATGAACTGTAGTATGGAAAACTGTGCTATTACATAGGATTTACACGGTTTTCTACTAATATTCCATTGTATGGTTTAAAATAAGTTTTTTGTGTTAGTAATTTTACCTTTCATAAAGTGAAATGATGTTTGTTTTGTACGTCTGTGTCTCTCTGAAGGCTCTATACCTCATGACGTGCCTCAAGTCCTGATCAACCGCGAGCCGCTGCCGCACCTGCACTTCGACGTGGAGCTGCTCGGAGACTGTGACGTCATCGTGAACGAACTCTGCCATCGTCTGGGAGGAGACTTCGAGCAGCTGTGCTTCAGCTCGTCCCGTCTCAGCGAGATCACGGAGAAACCGTCCGCTCAGGGGCCCGTCACAGGAGCGTCAGAGGACGTCCCAATCACTGAGTGTCAGGGTTCACTGTCTCCCGAGGAGGAGGAACCGGAAACGGCATCTTCCCCAGCAGCCAGAAGAACTAGCCCTCATCCAGAGCCGTTACCGGAAACGAACACATACGAGAGAGACTCACACCCAAAAGAGCATCCTCCGAAGACGGCGAGTCCCAGTCTGGAGAGGAGAGCAGCGTGTGACGCTACAGAAGCACTGGACTCTACTGATGACGTGAAGGAGGAAGAACCAGCAGATCGTCACCATGCTGAGATGCGGAGACGGTGCTGGAGAAGCCTAATCTGTCAGAGTCCAATCAGCAAACGACTCGGAGGTAAAATCATTTTTAAATGTTTTTTTTTATATATATATATATATCTTTAAGATGTACCTGCTGATACTATCAACGAATTTTGGTGGATTAAAAAAAAAAAAAAAGCATTTTAAAAATGTCCCTGCTGTTATTATGAACAATTTATTGGTGGATGTTATTGCAAATACAAAATTACAACAACAAAAAAATTATTTTATTTGTATTATTTATTTTAGGGATGCACGATATTGGATTTTTGCCGATATGCCGATATTTTTCAAATAATTTTGGCCGATACCGATATATTATTTCCTTTTGCTTGGAAACAACACCAAGTCTCTCCTGTGCAGAAATTATAAGCAAAATATTTTTAATTTTGGTTAGTTTTTAACAAAAACTTATTTGTTAGAATGAAATAAACAATAATGAAGGTTTTTTGACAGTACGTTGAAGCTTTGAAAATAACTATAGCCTAAATAAACTATATATCAATCGTTGCAAGGTTAACCGTAACATTTTATTCGAATACTTAACATTTGTAGATGGTCTAAAGCAAAAGAGTTGTACAAATTCTGAAAATCTTTTAGAGCTTATGATTTGTTTAAAAAATAAAACACACTGCACATTAATGAATAAATCAGTATAAATAAGTCATGTTTATGATTTTTTTTTTTTCATGTAAGCTATAGCTTCTGACCTTTAAATCAAAACATACTCATTATTTTATGACATCAATTACTGCTTTATTTAATCAGAAACACAGTCTAAATGTTATTTGTGTAGGCTATTTGACTATTAATTTAATTAGAAGTAGACCAACAGCGCCCCCTACAGATTAAAACTCCTTACTGAGCAGGCATTAGTACTCATCACAAAAAATGTTTTACATTACGTATTACTATTTTAGTTTTTATTTTATTTATAGAATTTATTTAGATTATGATGCTATTTTTATTATATATTTTAGATTTTGAATGTTTTATAGGTTTAAAAATTGCATCACATTATGTTTTTCTTTGCGTGTCACAAAGACACAGTTCATGTAAAAGATGCATAAAACCAAAGCTATCAGATATTTATTTTTGTCGTTTCCGAACACTCATTGCATGCGTGATGGATTTAGTTGTTTTTCTGTTTTGCAGCCTCGCAGTATTTATTTCAAGCACCGAACCGCTACATTTTCCACGGCGCCGAGGTCTACTCGAGCTCAGAGGACGAGTCGTCCAGTTCCTGCGGCAGTGACAGCGACGCTTTGGAAAATGAAGACAGCGACGTGGAGGAAGACAACACAGACGGCCTGGCAGAGACAGTACAGGAGCGTGAACACAAACGCCTTCACTCAGACTGCACTGCAGAAACAGACCTCCCAAGCACACAATAACTCACTAGCACTCGCTGCATCTCATGGCCTCAAGTCCGTTTTGTATATTTTTGTATATCCTCCCTCCTAAACGCCCCGTTATGTCTTCTAATCCATGCAACTATTTTCTTTTGTTCGGCTTGTAACCCGTTTTTGTTTTATCACCATGCATTTTTAGATGTAAAATATGCATTTAATTCCGGTGAATGTTTCTGCGTGAGAATTGAACTTGCCATTTTTTCAAACCAAAGATCTCTTTTTTTTTTTCCTGTATCGTTTTCATGTTTTTCCACGAGTTCCTTGTTGGATCTGGTCACTGTGTCCAGCAGGTGTGCACCAAACTGTGGCATCTTCAGACATTCGGCAGCCTACTGTTGAAGTCTTTTATACCCAGTAAAGTCTGATAGTCATCAAACTGATGTTTTCAGGACATAATTTACATGCATTCACACTCTTGTAATTCCTGTCCTCAAGCACTTCGTAAGTTCTGAATCAGTTCTTGGTTACGCTTGTTTATGTTGTTTGGTTAATGCTCTCATTGGCCAGTCTTTATAACACTGTTAAATTATAATATCAACACGACTTCACGGTTCCCTCGTGCAGTGGATGCAGTTTTGGTTGTATATTCTTAATCTCATTTCTTTAATGTTAAAAAAAAAAGACTTTTCATGTCAGATTTTGTTTAGGTTAATGCGGATTGGCGATGCTGCAGAAGAGTAAATGAACACTTTTTTTTGTCATTGCACAAATGTAGCATTTTTGACCATTATCACTCGCGCTTTAGCTCAGCACTGCACATGATGCATGCAGGGTTGAATTAAGAATGATAGAGAAATATTTTGCTCGGTAATAAAATATGAAAGCGTTTGCGGGATCAATCGTAGCTGTGTTTAAGTCGTGTAGGTTGCATTTACTGCATATTTTTTGAATGTTTGAATTATGAGGGCACATGTTTTCTATTTAAGTGATTTATTAAAGCATATTGCAATTATAGTTTCAAGTTAAAGGATATAATAGATGACTAAAGTCTTTAAGGAGCATCTTGATGAACCTGAACCTATAGCAATAATTTAGTGTAATTACGAAGCAAATTACAATCCTTGATTAAATAACTTACATCGCAGCCTTATTTTGATGGAAAAATGCCTGTTTGAATATATAAAGAGCTTTAAATGATATATTAGCATTGTTGCAGGTTAAATAAGTTATAGATCTAGCTTTGTGTTGTTTAAAAAAGTCTATAACAAAGACTTACAGAACATTTGTATTAATAAAAATACATTAATAATGCCTAAATGAAATGGCATTTAATACATTTTGTGTTCATAAAAATAACTTTTTATGAACTTCTTATTTTTGTATTCATTTATCATATTTTATTAATTTTATTTTTTCATTTATTTATTTTTTTTAAATACTGAATCATTTAAATTGTTATTTATATTGTTATAATATATATAACAAATCCATTAAGACTTACAGAACATTTATATGAATAAAAATACATTAATAATGCCTAAATTATAAATATATATTTTTATTATTAATAAAAAAAATTAATAATTTATATTTTATTAACCATTTAATATTTTTTTATGAATGTTATATTGTTTTTAAATAATAAGTCATTTAAATATATATAACAAATCCATTAAGACTTAGAGAACATTTTTATTACAATACAATACATTAATAATGCCTAAATTAAACAGAATTTAATACATTTAGTGTTCATAAAAATTACTTTTTATTAACTTATTAATTTTTATATTCATAATTAAAATTTTATTTTATTTTACATTAATTTTCTATTGCTAAACAAAATAATAAATCATTTAAATTATGTTATTTATATATTTAGAATATAGGTATAATAGATAACAAATCCATTAAGATTAAGAGTATTTAATTAATTGCTTAGGATGTATTTTAAATGTCAGAACATTGCAGAAGGAAAGGCAAGATTTTAAAAGGAATTGAATTGCAAGAAATGATCAAATGGATAAATAATAAAATTATATATTCGACATTTATGCCGAAGACGGACTCTTATTTTGACACGTCCGCCATGGAACGGAAGTCCGTGTCGGATCTCGCCTCGGATTGACAACAACATAACCAGGAGCGAAAGTGAAGCGACATGGACCGTTAGATTCTCTCGGTGGGGCGGCAGGATGGAGGAGATGGAGGAGGACGCGCTGGAGCGGATTGAGGATGAAAACCATAACTGTGGCGCGGAGGGTGTGCGCGTGAGCTCACCTGCGCAGGTGTGTGTGGACTCGGACTGCAGCAGCGACACCTGTGAGTCCGACAGCTCGGCCTCGTCCGCGCTGCTCTTCAGCTCGACCTCCAAGTTCTGTAAGTTAACGTTACACCGCGGTAACGCTACAGAGATGTGGCTGACGGTTCGGTACTTATGCACTTATGCGCTTATGTAAATAGTTCCGGTGCTTGACTCTGATTGGCTGAGCCGCGTTCGAAGCTGTTGTATAGTACTCCACAAACACACACCTTTGTTTACGTCTGTGTGTTGCTCGGCAACCACTTTGTAGCAACCACAACTGTTTCCGAGGCGCTACATTGTTTGGTGGAAGAACACTGTTTTTATTAATATCATTATATTTTATTTACTCTGCTTTATTTTGTGGAAACCACGGCTTCACGGGGCGTATTGTTTTATTTTAATTTGTATTTTTAATTAATATAATATTTTAATTAATAATATAATATTTTATTTATATTTTAAGAATAATCTATATATATATATAATATTATAATAATTTATTAATCATAAATTATTATATAATTTATTAATCAATAATGTGTGTTCCCTGGGAATCGAACCCACGACCTTTTGCGCGGCTGACGCAATGCTGTACCACTGAGCCACAGGAACATATATTATAATATGTTAATAATATTTAAAATATTTTACAAATGTAAACATTGTGTAAATGTTAAATGTACACTTTTAATTCATCTGTATATTTTTAAAAATAAAAAGTAGCTACTAAATGTCTAAATTAAATGTAATTTGTTATTGAAATATGTTCTTAAAAATAGCTTTTTGTTTCAATTAATTTGATTATTTTTCTTTTTGTATTAATTTAATGTAATATACAATAATAATGCCCGAATTAAATAGAATTTAATAATGACTTTTCATTAATGTATCAATTTTTAGATTTTTTTTAATTGACTTCGTATTGTTGTTTTTTTATCGAAATAATAAATAATAACAATTATGTACTGTATATTGTTACAGAATATTTCTATTTTGAGTAAATGCTGTTTTAACTTTTTATTCATCAAAGAATCCTGAAAGTATCACAAGATCTAAAAAATATTAAGCAGCAAAACTGTTTCAAATATTAATAATAAATCAGCATATTATACTGATTTCTGAAGATCATGTGACACTGAAGACTGGAGTAATGATGCTGAAAATACAGCTTTGATCACAGGAATAAATTCTATTTTAACAGATATTCACATAGAAAACAGCTGTTTGAAATTGTAATAATATTTCACAATTTTACTGTTTTTTCTGTATTTCTGATCAAATAAATGCAGCCTTGATGAGCAGAAGACACTTCTTTAAAACACATTAAACTCTTGCTGACCCCAAACTTTTGAACAGCAGTGTGTGTGTTATTTATATTTATTTACTGCCGAAATACTGTTTTTGTAAGCGATAGAGCTAAAGCCTCATTCAGCAGCGAGTGTCACGTGTGTGTGTGTGTGTGTGTGTGTGTGTGTGTGTGTGTGTGTGTGTGTGTGTGTGTGTGTGTGTGTGTGTGTGTGTGTGTGTGTCTAGTCTTGAACGCGATGACCGCAGAAGAATACAGGACGGTTTACTGGCCAAAACTAGAGCGAGCCATTGAACATCTGCTCACTCAAAGCCCGATGGAGCACATCTCCATCTCATATGAACAGATCTACAGGTTTGTGCTCCTGAACGAGTTCCTAGAGACACAGGAGCAGAACGTCTCTGGCAATTATAAATAAGATGTTGCTCAGATGTGCTTTTTAGTTAACATGTCTTTCTGTTTTCTTCTTCCAGTCATGTTTATAAGTGTGTATGCCAGCAGCACTCAGAGCTGCTCTACAATGACCTGATGTGGAAGATCACGTCTCATCTAGAACAAGTGTCTTCTGAGCTACAGGTCCGTGTATAGACGCATTAAAACCTCTACGTATTGCTTTTGGCGTGGGCTTTTAAATCACGTACTAGCACAATGAAATCATTCTTTCACATTTATATGCTGTTTGTGATGTATACATTGATGTACATGACAAAATATGATTTTTAGAAAACAAAACAAACAAAAAAATAATACATGCATTAATAAAAAAAATAATTTGTTTAAAAATGTTAACGAAGGCATCTTTATTCACATGTTTTTAACCCAAAATTTTTTTTATTATTTTTTTATTTTATAAAGACGTAATATTCATAGATTTTTTTTTTTAAAGAAGCTAAATAAATATCTAAGGTGTATATAATTTTTCTTTAAATATGTGTTCATAAAAAGTTTTTTTTTAATAACTTTTAATTAATTTTCTATTATTATAATGTTTTTATACATTTTATTATTCTATTTTTTTTTAGAAAAAAAGGAAAATAATAAAAGTCTAAATTAAATATAATTTGTCATTAAAATCTGTTCATAAAATTACTTTTTGTTCATTTATTATGTTTTATTAATGTTTTTATCATTTTTATTAGATTTGTATTGTTTTAGAAAAAAATGCTCCTAAAAATTTCACTTTTATCAAATTGTTTAAAAAAAATTTTATTTATAAAGACTTTTATTAATTTTATTGTATTTTAGAAAATACATTTTTATTTAATAAATGTGCTCATAACATTACTTTTTAATTATTTAATACATTTTCTATTATATTAATGTTTCTATCATTTTTTATGAATTAATTTTGTATTGCTTTTTTCTTGAAAAAATTTAATTAAATGAAATATAATTTGTCATTAAAAATGTGTTAATAAAAATTACTTTTTATGAATTTATGAATTTTCTATTTTTTTAATAGTTTTGTAATTTTTTTAAAAACAATAAATACCTAAAAAAAAAATTTTTTTTTAATTCAGTTGTCTCATCTCTTTTGAAGGCCAGTCCACCAGAAGATTTAATTGAAAACTTTAACCTGGCTCTGACGCAGTACACAGCCGCCCTGCACTGCATCGTTCCCGTCTTCATCTATATGGTACAATGCCAATACTCTGTTTTGACTATAACTTTAAACACAACACTTTCCTTGTTTTGTCAGATCATTTGAATTCTGTGTGCATTTATCTGCATTTGAACCCAATTGTGTTAAAGAACAAGTTCTACATTGAGACGAAGCTGAACCGAGATCTGCGGGACGATCTCATGAAGCTCTTCTCGGATCACGTCGCAGAGAAACACGTCAGCACGCTGCTGCGTGAGTGCAGATCAAAGCCTTTGGACTCTGCAATGCATTGTGTGAATATATATTTATTAAAATGTTACATTTTCCTCAGCGCTTCTCAAAAAGGCTCATTCCATGCCATTTCAAGTCAAACCATCAACTATGGCGAGTGTTGTGAAAGGCCTTTATGCCCTCCGGCCAGGTGAGAGGATTTAGTTATTAGTTTAGTTGTGTGTCG